AAATCCAAAATTTTTATTTTGTACACAGATGATAATATCGTTTCATCATCGGTGCCTGTTCAAGGACAGGGCAATAGTAGAAGTAGGTCAAGTAGTTCAAGCAGTTCTAGCAGTGGTTCTGGATCTTCTTCTAGTGGTATGACAATTATTAATTTCAGCATTCCTGGCATCTTAATCATGTGATTTTGTTGAAGCTGTATTCTTATTCTTATTATTTTTCGGACAAATACAGATTCTGATAGTGAAAGCTCTTCAGCATCTGGATCTGATAATGGGTCGTAAAGGGCTTCAATATTCTTCAGGTTGTGCTGCTAAATTAGTCTGAATCTCTTTTTTGAATAACTTTTTGGCCATGTTCTTGTTCCTTTGATGAGTTCTTAGTTTCTGGGCCCCATTATCTGCTTTGTTTCTGATATCACCTTAATCTTGGTGTAGTCGAGTTCAATCTCCGTAAGGGTTGACAAGTTTATTTGTTCTCTAGGTCAATTGGATCCGTAGACGCTAGAGTTTTTATGAGATGGGTCAAAATTTTATGTTAGGATCGCACAACACGCACACCATCGATCTAGATGAACACAAAAAATAGGATAGATAAAATGCAAGGAGAATACTGGCTAAATGATTTGTATTGATGACTCCAAGTATGTAGAGTAAGAAAGAATACAGAGAATATATAACTATCTATCATATATATAGCTTTATCGGATATAGCTTTTTATTATATATAGCTATTTACTATTTATGACAATTTACTTTATGTCATTTACCATATATAGCTTAACTATGTATAACCGTTGACTAAGCTATAAATAAGCAGCAAGCTCCATAGCCTAACAATTCTCCCACTTGGAAACTGATCTAGTCAACCAAGAATTTCATTCTCAAACGACCATATGAGCATCTTCAGTGCACCATATCAATTGAGGCTTTGCACAACCTCAATATTCCAACATCAACACATTTTGTCAATATCTTTGCTGGATTCTTTGCACCCTCTATCTTCTCAAAATATATCACCATCTTCCACTAACCTGCAAGTGAAATGGTATTGCCTTCCGTGTTTTATCTTTAAATGATAGACCGGGTTCCTCACCAACTATATGACACTCTGGCTATCTCTATAAAGAATCTTTCCGTGTTGCTTCTTGCTAAATTCTTCTAGATAGGTAGTCATCCATATCATCTCCTTTCCAGCTTCAGCTATTGCCACGTACTCAGCTTCAGTACAACGCATTTTTGAAGCCTAGACATCCCATCATCCATGGCTTGCTCCCACTTGGTTGTATCCTCCAACTGTAGGGCCTCATCAAAGGGATCTGGTTCTCTTTCATCAGCAACAGATAGTGTAATGAAGGTACATACATATCTGGTACTCTGATAGTACTAGATGATCTTCTCAACATCGGTTCAGGTGTCACTTGCTCTACCGCTGGTTCCTCTGCAATAGTCTCAGGAGTTTCTTGAATATTTGCTACAACATCACTAGGTGATTTTTTTCGCAACTCGACCTCAACTCCCACTTGCTTCATTGTCTTGGAACCTTGCTTCACATCTGGTTTCTCAGCAGTAGTCTTAGGAGTTTCATGAGACAACATTACTAGGTGAGTTTCCCTACAACTCAAGCTCAACTCCCACTTGCTTCGTGGTTTTGGAACCGTGCTCCACATCTGTATGGATCATTTCCAATTGCACTTTCTTCAATTCTCTAGCTGTTCTTGTGAAGCTAACTCGTTTCTGCTACGTAGTTCTTACAACGATCCACATCAACAAATTTTAGACATTCTAAAACTCCTTTCGCAGCCAGCATCTTCATTCCTTTCACGCTTATATGTCTAAGTCTATTGTGTCATAGATTTGAATTTGAAGCACTCTCAGCAACAACAACCATGTTCATATACTCTGCAGTGGTGTATAAAGTTCTGGATTTTATGCCACGTGCTACCATCGTAGCACCCTTCATAATCTTCCACGAACTCCTCTAACTCTGTTGCATAACCTGTGCTGTCCAACTGACCAATAGATATCAGGTTTTTCTTGAGATTAGGAATATATCTGACATCCTTTAATGTCCACTGGTTTCTTGCCGGAGTTTTTATGCAGACATCCGCTTTTCCTTTAATCTCCAAATCTTTGTTGTCGGCAAGATACACCTTCTCGAAATTTTCAGACTTGAAATTCTGGAACAACCCTTTATTTGGAGACGAATGAAAAGATGCACCTGAATCCAAAATTCAGGATTCAATCAAACTGTCCACGCTGAGGATTAGAGCATCACCAATGTCTTCTGCTGAATTTATAGAATTATTATCATCTCCAAATTTCAGATTTGTGATTCTGCTTCCTCTTTGGTCTTGTATAATCTGTCCGAAAGTGACATTTTTCTCCACAATTCCAACACGTTACGTTTGGTCTATTTGAAGATTTTTTTCGGTTCTTTGATTTTGATCGCCCTTTGTTTGGGCCCTTCGGTTTACTTCTTCTCCATTGGTCAACACTGAGAGCATTACCAAATGAATTTCCAATTTCTTGTTTGCGAATACTTTCGTTGAGAATTTCATCAAACTTCAGTTTATCATATCTTTGGGAACTGCTGATTGCGGCAATAGTATCTCACGACTCGGGTAAAGACGACATCAAAATCAATACTTTAATTTCATCCTCGAAATTAATTTCCACCGAACTCAGTTGACTTACGATCATATTGAATTCATTTATATGATCAACAACAGATCCACCTTCAGGCATTTGTAGATTGAACAATCTTCGCATCAAATACATCTTGTTCATAGCCGACGGTTTTTCGTACATATTTGACAGCGCCTTCAATAGATTTGACGTTGTCTTCTCCTTGATGATTTTGAATGCCACGTTTCTGGATATCGTAAATCGGATCAACCCTAAGGCTTGTCGATCCTTGAGCTTCCACTGTTCCGTGGTCATGGTATCCGGCTTCACCCCCAATAGGGATTCGTGAATATCTTTTCGGTACAGATAATCTTCAATCTGCATCTTCCAGAAACCGTAATCGGATTCATCGAACTTCTCAATTCCAATCTTTAAGCTTTCCATCTTCACAGATCGGGGTGAATTCTGCCTAGCTCTGATACTAGTTGTTAGGATCGCACAACGCACATACTCGATCTAGATGAACTCAAAGAATAGGATAGAGAAAGTGCAAGGAGAATATTGGCTAAAAGATTTGTATTGATGACTCCAAATATGTACCGTAATAGAGAATAAGAGAATATATAAGTATCTACCATATATAGCCTTTTACTATACAACTATTTACTATTTATGACAATTTACTTTATATGTCATTTACCATATATAGTTTTACGATGTATAACCGTTGACTAAGTTATAAATAAGTAGAAAACTCCATAGCCTAACAGTCTAACCGTATATGTATGATATTTTAATTTTGAAAATTAAAAAAACCTTAAAATTGCAACATTTTATGTACTTTTTATATCTAAGATGTTGTCCGTGATAGACCAACCTCCACGGCTAGCAGATAGTATTCTCTTTAGGCTTTTCCTTTCAGGCTTCCGATTAAAATTTTTAAAACGTGTCTGCTAAGGAGATGTTTTCACACCCTTGTAAAGAATGTTTTGTTCTCCTCTCCGACCGATGTGAGATTTCACAATCCAACCCCCTTCAGAGTCCAGCGTCCTCGCTGGCACTCATTCCCTTCTCCCTCCAATCGATGTGGGACTCCCCAATCCACCCCTTAGCTTCAAATAACTGTCATTACATTGTCACTGTTTTTTTTCGCTCTGCCATTTACTTCAAAATGTTCTTGTTGGCTACTTGTCTACTAAGAGAACTGTGGTATTAAATGCCTTGCACCTCGTGTTTTTGTGTCAGTTTAGTTTAGATTATGGTTTTAAATAAACTCTTTATTTAACTAAAATATAAACCACAAGTATAACTTATGCAGTAGTATGATTCTAAATACTTTATAAGGTCTGCTAAGAAAAAAGTTGAATAAATTGTTATTTTTAAACATGTTGATGTTCAAGGATTCTTACAGTTCATTAGAAAGGTGACAGAACGAAGTTAATCAAGGCTGCAATACTTCCTAATTGTTACTGGTATGCTGAAAACTTTAAATGGTAAAAAATAGAGATTATATGAACTTAGAGATATTACTTGAAACGAGTCATCAAGTTCCAAAGTACAGAAACTTAGAGATATTTTGAGTTCATGGGTTTGAACAGGATGATGAAAAAGAGATTAAGAAGCTTTAAAGTTCACTCTTTCCCCCTTTGTGATTGGCAATTTTTATGATCAGTGGCTAGAGGAATGAAAATCTTACCAATTCCCTTTTGTTTACTTGGACAGATATCAAATTTTTTGAAGTCACTTCGGGTGGAAGGAACCCTCAGCTTTCCTGATTGAAAGCCAAATCAGTGTCTTGCCCAGCACTGGTTGGAAAAGGCTTGAAGTCCATTCATTTTCAACCAGTGGCAAGCTGAGCTTTTGATGTAGTATTTGACGCAGGGCTTCACTTCATCCCCCCATGCAGCCTTTGATTCTGTCCCAAATTTGTATAATATTGGTAACATAAGTAGTAATCTGATCGATTAGGCCCTGTCTTGCGTAGCGCCTGTACATTGCTAATCCATTGCTACCATCTCTATTATTTTCTAGCACAGACAACACCCTTAAGAGTCTGTAAACCAAATGTCAGTAGTAGGCAACAGGGTGTGGTTTTCAATTATATTCACAAAAGGGTTTGATGAATAGCTTGACTATCCCTTGAGCTTTAATCTGCCCTTCTATGGCTGCCATTTCTAAGGATTGTGAGTTTGCAAGCGCTGCCGCTTGTATTTTTGGTTGTAAAGGATCAACAGAAACATGATTTTGTAAGGTCAAGATTTTGCTTTTGGTTTGATAGAATTATTTAGACTTCAGTCTTGAGAAAATGAAAATGGTGACTTCGGCTTAATGGGCTCTAAAAGGAAGTGGGTAAAGTCTCTTTCCGAGTCGCCAATTTGATATAAATATCGTGCGGTACACAAATTTTGGCGCTGTTGGAATTGATGAGCGAGCGAGCGAGCGATGCAGCGTCTTCAACTCAAAGCTCTACTTATATGGCCGACTTTCCGCTGTTCTTTTCGCGCCAATATTCATTCTCAAAGCGTCAAGCTAAATTCGTCTTCGTCTTCGTCTTCGTCGTCTTCTTCTTTAGAATACACGCCGTGGTCTGGTCTGAAAGCTTGGAGGCAGAGCCCTATAAATGAGAATCGATTTTGGGGAAGCAATGGACCAGAGGCTTTGGTTGAATCATCATCAAATGGGTTTCTCTTCGACAGCCGAATTGAATCGGCGTCGTCTCTTGCAGAGTTGGGTGCTTTGGTTCTTTCTACCAGTGATCCTTTGATCAAATCCAGGCTCTCGCATCTCGCTTACTCCAGATGGTCTCTCGAAGATCTTCCGATTGGTGTTTTCGAAGCTCCTCGTCGTCCTGCTCGACCTCCTCAACCCAAATTGGTTCGTTCTCTATATTTCAGTAAAATTTTTATACTCGTGAAATGTTCGTCTCTGTTCTTGAAAGAATCAATTGTTTTGTTTGTTTGAACCTGCTCTGGATTATGAATTTGTTCATGATTTGATGAAACTTTAACCCATGTCTTGCATAAATCCAGGTCTCTCCAAGGGAAATTCCGGCTCCCAAAAACTCGGGGTTGCCTCTGAATGCTTATATGCTGCACAATCTTGCTCATGTTGAGCTTAATGCAATTGATTTGGCATGGGACACGGTTGTTCGATTTTCGTGCTTCAGTGAAGTTCTTGGTGAGGGGTTTTTTGCTGATTTTGCTCATGTTGCTGATGATGAGAGCCGTCATTTTACATGGTGTTCACAGAGACTTGCTGAACTTGGATTCAAGTGAGGAGATTATAAACCTTGGGTGTAGTAGTTGATATTTGTTCGTTATTACTTACCTTGATTATATTGTTACAAGATATGGAGATATGGCTGCTCATAATTTGCTTTGGAGGGAGTGTGAGAAATCATCTGACAATGTAGCTGCACGCTTGGCTGCAATCCCGCTTGTCCAGGTAAACATATGTCCATTCTTAGTTCTTTGCTTCTTCATACAGTGCTTGAAATCCTTGAATTTTCGAGTATTCTACTTTTGATTATCTAGTCTAGAAGTATAAAAAGGATGACTAGCCTGATGTAAAGGGATGGGATCGAAAAGGCTTCTGGAAAGTACTTTGGATGAGGAATGGTCGAACTCGAACCTTAAGGAAGTTGAAATGAGGGTGGGTACTAATTTGTGAGATCCTACGTTGGTTGGAGAGGAGAACGAAACATTCCGTATAAGGGTGTGGAAACCTCTTCTAGTAGACGCGTTTTAAAACCTTGAGGAGAAGCCTAGAAAAGAAAGTCCAAAGAGGACAATATTTGCTAGCGATAAGCTTGGACTGTTACAGATGATATTAGAGCCAGACATCGGGTGGTGTGTCAGTGAGGACGCTGGCCCTCAAAGGGGGTGGATTGTGAGATCCCACTAGTTGGAGAGGGGAATGAAACATTTCTTATAAGGGTGTGGAAACTTCTCCCGAACGGATGCATTTTAAAACCTTAAGGGTAAACTCGAAAGGGAAAGGCCAAAGAGGACAATATCTACTAGTGGTGGGCTTGAAAGCCAGACACCGGGCGATCTGCCAACTAGGAGGCTAAGCCCCAAAGGGGAGTGGACATGAGACGGAGTGTCAACAAGGACGTTGGGCCTTGAAAAGGGTGGATTGGGGGGTCCCACATTGATTGGAGAAGGGAATGAGTGACAGCGATGACACTGGGCCTCGAAGGAGGGTGGATTGTGAGATCCCACCTCGGTTGAAGAGGGGAACGAAACATTCTTTATAAGGGTGTGGAAACCTCTCCCTAGAAAACGCGTTTTAAAACTTTAAGGGAAAGCTCAAAAGGGAAAACACAAAAAGGACAATATCTGCTAACGGTAGGCTTGGGCTGTTATAGAATATACATTTAATATTGAAATATGGATGGGGTTGGGTGCTATGGGGAAGAGATTCGATTTAAGAAAATAAATAGAAAACTAAAGGCAGAGATAGTATTGATCAGTGCACATATGTATATATGTATATCACATTCTGTAGGAAGCTAGAGGACTTGATGCTGGGCCTCGACTAGTGAAGAAACTAATAGGCTTCGGGGATCATAGAACATCTGACATTGTAGCTAGAATTGCTGACGAAGAAGTTGCACATGTTGCTGTTGGTATCGACTGGTTCATCCTCGTCTGTCAGAAAATGGAACGCGCTCCATGCTCCACTTTTAAAGGTTTATACCCTCCACGATGTCGGTTTCTTTTCATCTAAATGATATGAGTCATATAGCTTGCAATGCTGGACTTCCCTGTGGTAACATCTTTGGTGGCACCAATGCAGACTTGTTAAAAGAATACAATGTGGAACTTAAAGGGCCTTTCAATTATTCAGCTCGAGACGAAGCCGGCCTTCCACGTGATTGGTATGAAAACTTCCCATCTGGGTTTATAGTCGTACATGTCTCTTCCCAACTTTCAGTCAATCGTTTCTGCAACTCTCATACTCGTGTTTTATAGGTATGACATGTCGAACACGAACAAACAGGATGAGACAAGTGGAGGAGCTAAAAATGAACAACTATCTGTGGTACAAAACCATCAACATTACTTGATCTAATGCCTGTATTTTCATGAAAAAGCGTTTGTTTTGTTTCATTAGTGAATTTTTGGTATCAAATATCATTCCAGGTTTACAATAGGCTTGCTTCCGTAATATCCATGGAGAGCAAGAACTCTGGGCCCTCAGAATGAGTTGTTTGATTGGCCTTCTTCCTGTGTTCTTGGAAGACATCGCTGTTATTGCATGCTGCTTGGTTTAAAACCTTGCAACGTTTAGTGATTCTGGAGCACAGTTTCATATGGTTAGTTTCCTTTTTTCTTTTTTTATCTACGCCATCGGGATTAAGAGCATGAATTCGCCCCCAGACTAATGTAGAACTGCTTGTGCATCTTTAGATCCATCATTTTTGATCCTAACACTCTGTAAATTTTGATTAGAATGTGAAAATATTGAAATGAACACAACTTATACCCTCTCTATGATGGTCTTGCCTAAGTCTAGGATGTCTAGGATGTGTGAGATTCCACGTCGATTGGAGAGGAGAACAAAACATTCCTTATAAGCATGTAAAACCTCTCCCTAGCAGACACGTTTTAAAACTGTGAGGCTGACGACGATACTTAACGGGCCAAAGCGGACAATATCTATTAGTGGTAGGCTTTATTAACACTACAAAAACTTTGAAATGAAGAAGAGGGAATGGGATTATAGTGAAGTTTCCTACTATGTTGTTGGACTTTCCCATGAAGATGACTCGTGGTTATAGCGACTAGATTTCTCGAACTTTTTGTTTTTTTATTGCACCCCATTTTGGAATTTGGTCTGGGATGAAGCTAAATTTCTTATTTGTTAAGCTTCTTTCGGCTCATAGCCTAAATTGTTGAATGATGCTATTGTGGGGTCGATACTTGCATATGCGTAGAGCAGCTATGTGTTAGATATGTTGGCTTATCGAGTTGGTTGCTTCTTCGGTACGAGGGGGAAGTCAGACTTGAGCATGATAAGAGTGTCAGCCAAACATGCCCTAGAGTAGGAAGAGATGTCTTACACTCTGCTCTTCCTTTATTCATGCGGCAGAAGCTAGCGACAAAAGATAAGACCAACACAATAAATGTCTTTATGGGATGGACGTGTTTGAGCCTGAGTTAAAGATCTGTCTCTCAAGTTGGGGTCGGTGCTATGCAGACGGATGACAAAAACTTCCGAAGTGTATGACTCATATTTTTCCTTTTCCTCAAATAAAAAATGAGTAATCAAAACTTGAACAAGGATTAATTTAATATTAATATAAACCAATAATCACCCTAAAGCCAACCACTTTATCCATCGACATAGAAATGAAAGATTTGGAAAATTAAAATTTCATTATAAAATTGGAGTTTTCCTTGGAAAAGCAAACATTTCCGTCGTCATCTAAGACCTTCTTCCTTGACACACATCTGTACAGTTTGGTTCAACCCCTTTAATAAATTAATACTAATCCTCAATAATCTACAAAACCATCATAACAATAAGAATTAAATAATCCCCACAGAATAGTAACAAATTCACAATTCACAACACACAGCCCCCACTCAGCATCTTCTTTATTTAGAGCAAAGGAATTCGATCATCGCCGAAAACCAAGGCGAAAGTGAGAGAGAGAAAAAAAAAAGAATCCCAACAAAGATGTGCTGTGGAGATGGCGATTGTAGGCCATTGGGCTTCTTGCTCGGCTTGCCTTTTGCATTCGTTTCTCTTATTCTTTCCCTGGTCGGCGTAATTATCTGGATTGTCGGGTAAATTTGTCGAAACTCCTTTAATTTTTAGCTTCTGGGTGTTCATGATTTGGTTTGTTTCGTTTGAATCTGATGCCCCTTTTCACTTTTCTATCGATTTCTATCGATTCATGACTGTATTTGCTCTGGGTTTTCGCTGCAGATTGACGCTTTCTTGCATATGTCCTTGTTGCTTGTGCTTGACGGTGATAGTGGAGCTAGCGTTGGAGCTGATCAAAGCCCCAATTCATGTCATGCAGTGGTTTACTTCCCAGATTCCTTGTTGATTGTTCATAAAGGGAAGCGGGAGAAGCTTTAAAGTGTAAGTATCTTATCTTTGTTCTGTAAAATTTGCGTTTGATATGAACATGTAGCTTTGGGATTTCCCGTCTCTGATTGATTAGGATTTTTTTTTTCCTTCCTGTTTTTGTTTCTTTAGCTTCACTGAAATGGGCTTCCATTGATTGTTTGTGACATCAATAATCAATATAGAATCAAAGTTGTCTTTTTACCGTATTTCTGAATGAAAGTTCTGTTCCCTACGAAGTTTGGTTTTCTGAATTCTGTGCTCATATTGAATCTGTCCTATACTTGTAGTTGCTCAGTATAATTGCCTCACCTTCTGAACCAACTCCCGAAATCATATAGCTTCTCATTGCTTGTGGAGAAGTAGAGGTATCAAAGTAATGGACAATAGCTTCTCCATTAACGAGAGATGGAAGCTTTGCTCATTCTTACAAGCTTCACAAGCATTATTGTCCGAGTGTTCTTGCTTGGAGGTTCATCACTATGCCTCTTCACTAGTTTTAACTAGTTATACGTCATCTTGTTGTCTCAATAGTTTGGGCCATAAGATCTCGTATACAAGTCTCTAGTGATTGTAGTAAGATGATAAAATAAGGTTCAAAGGTTCAGAGCTCAGCAAGAAAGAAGCTTTTACGATCCCGCCAATGATAATCCTTTGAAAAATGAAAAGCATTCAAAAAATGGCTCGAGAAGCAAAACTGTCGACGTGTTTCAAGTTCTTCAAGTTATGGACCGTAATTCAAGTTTTTCATATGGTGCCTTAACACTTCTCTCTTATATTTATAGAGTTTTCTTTTGGTTCGTGAAATTGGGCTTTAATGACCATCGGGCCCAACCATTCGACCTAACCCGTCTGAATTTGAGCTTTGACCAAATTTGACTCGACCCAATTTAACCTAAGTTTGAACAAATTATCTGTTCCAACAATGATTCAAAAAACCAAGCAAATAAAACTTTATCCAATATCAACAATACACACAACTAATACAACAAATTCACAAAATCACACGCTTTTCTAACCCAAACAAATTGACCTTATTATCCCTCAAACCCACACATATTACAACATCAAATCACAAGTGGGCAGGGGCAACAACGGAAGAAGTTGCAGAAATAGGCGCCGAAGCCGGAGCCGCCGCAATACTTGAACCATAACCACCGCCACACGGATGCTCAAAACAATCCACAGGACGCTCAACCACCGCACTACACTCCTTCTTACTCCTCTGCAGCGGCTTCTCCGGCACACAATTCCGACGATCGTCAAAAGCAACCCCTTCCGCCGTCAAATTCCGGCAAACCCCTTCTTCCTCACAAAAGTAATTATACGAAACCGTCACATTCTCCAAATTCGGAAGGTTACAAAGCCCTTCAAACAAATTCCCAGTAAACAAATTGTGAGCCAAATTCAATTGCTCCAATTGACCCAACCCAGCTAAACTATACGGCAAAGGACCCATTAATTCATTAAAACTCACATCCAAAACCTTCAATTTGTACAAGAACCCAATTTCTTGGGGCAAACAGCCTGATAAACTCGTGTTGATCAACAAAAGTTCTTCCAAACTGTTTGCAAAACTTGCAATCGTCGGTGGAAGACAGCCCTTCAAATTGTTGTTGGCAAAGACAATCACAGAGGCTGATTTTCCACCGATGTTTCGAGGGATTATGTTGGTGAAACGATTGCTGTTTATAAAAATGGCGTCGAGGCTTTTGTTGAAGAGTTCAGGGGGAATTTGGCCTTCAAATTCGTTGAATCGAAGGTCGAGATATGTTAAGTTTGGAAGATGAAGAACAACAGAAGGAAAAGGGCCAACGAATCTGTTGTTGCTTAAATCTAATTCGAAGAGGAGAGACAAATTGGCTAAAGATTGAGGCAAAACGCCGCAGAATCGGTTGCTGTTGAGATGGAGCAGAGAAAGGTCTTTTAAAAGGCCTAATTCATTAGGAAGGAATCCAGCAATGTCGCCGTGGTTTAAGTCGATTCCGGCGACAACCTGAACATTTGAGTCGTTGAGAGATGGGGCACAGTATACTCCAAAGTAGCTGCAAACTGAAGGCCCTACCCAATTGGTAGTATGGTTTTTTGGGTCAGAGTAAATGACCTTTTTCCATGCTTGGAGAGCAAGGAATGCTTGGTGGAGTCTCGGGTTCGTGCTCGGTGATCGAGCATGGTGGTGGTGGTGGTGGTCATTATGAGTGACTACGACACCATGTTTGGCGCTCAAGCTCTTAAACAGACAAGACAAATGAAGGAGTAACAAGAACAAAGCTTTGGAGGACAGGGACGAGGACGAGAACAAGAACGGGAACGGGAACGAAGCCATTGTTTTAGAATTCGAGTCTATGGGAGCAATTAGTTAGGTTGTAGGCTTAAATAAGCAGCTGCATTATGCATCTAAACGTTCAGTCTAATGCTTAATCATGCTGTATAAGTCCAATAAGAAGCTTAATTTCTTCTTGGGATGATAATGGAGGAAGAAAATTGTTCCATTTTTCGTTCGAATAGCGACGGTTAACCGTTACGATATGCTTGAAAGTACGTATTTGGAGTAAGGCCGAGAAAGAAGAACAGAGGAACATTGGGTCTGAATATGGCTAAAAGCTTGAAAAGCTGAATGTTTATCTGCGCATGATAAAGACTTTGCTCCTCACGGTTGTTTTCACAGTTTGTTTGAAGTGGAATCCGAGAGGGATGGCCTTAAGAGTCTTGAAGGAGGTTTCTTGGAACCTAAGGGTTCTGTAATTACAAGTCTTTGTTATGTGTAAATGCAACTAATTGATATCAGATACGAAAATGTTGTGTTCCTTGAGTATCAAGCTTGTTGACTAATGATGCTTAGTTCATTCAAGTTTTTTACTGCCTAATGATCACTTCTTGTGTAAGATTTATCTGAAGAATTGAATATAACACATTCAAATGTGAATAGATAGCCATGATCCCTCCCGAATCATGCCAGAACTTGATCCTAAAGTTGGAATATTAATGCATGAGGGGGCTTGACTGTAAAGCTTCATTATTAGAACTGAAGCTCTTCTGTGGTTTGGTTTCAGGTTTGACAGCTGATACAAAGCAAACTCGAACGAAGCTATGTCAAACAGTATCCGAGGCCAACATTCAAATAAAATAGGTGTGTGTATGTAACAGCCTAAGTCCAATTTGGGCTTTTCCTTTCGAGCTTCCCCTTAATGTTTCACCAATATAAAACCCGAGGGTAGAAACACGACATATTCTAATTCATAAGAAAAGCCAACCAACTTATCCTTCAATATTCTCAATCTCTCAACAAAATCAAAGAAGAGAAAAGCAGAAATTGAACTTTTCTGAAATACCAAAGTGCACTGCAATACGCAAAGGAATTTAACTATGATCTCCAAAAAAACTAATAAAAGACCTTATGCCTCCAACAAACTATGAGTAGAGACAGAGACAGAACACCATGAACACAACCATGATACTATAATTACGCCATGAGATCAAACAAGAAAAACTCGAACCTGTAAAGGCTGCCGAGAGTGAAAGAGAAGGAAATAGTGAGAAATCACCAAGTAGATGCCTCGCGAAATGCGATTTCGTGCAGAAATGAAGCTTCGGTATACAGAGAGCGAGCTCGCGGAGACTAGGGTTTGAACCATAATCACATATTTACTATGCCACTCATTGATTCAATGATTCACGAGCTGGAGCCTGCAACACTAACTGAATGGCAGCCGAGAGTGGAGGTAAGGGAAGGCGCCGCCGGTAGGATAGTGGGCCTAAAGTTGAGCTTCTTTTTCAAATGGGCTATAAAGAACAAGGTTAAACCCCAATTCTACTGGGAGTTTAGTTAGACTTGGTTGGTCAACTGGGCCAGAAATGGTACGGTAAAAAGCCCAATCCTTCCGGAGAGTTTAGCTGGACTTGGTTGGCCAAATGGGCCAGAAATTGTACGGTAAAAGCCCAAGTTTAAAGCCCAATCCTACCGGAGAGTTTAGCTGGACTGGTGGCCCAATGGGCCAGAAATGGTACGATAAAAGCCCAAGTTCAAAGCCCAATCCTACCGGAGAGTTTAGCTGGACTTGGTTGGCCAAATGGGCCAGAAATGGTATGGTAAAAAGCCCAAGTTTACGCTCTTAGGTTAATTGGGCTTACCTAAAGTCCAAATTTCTCCGAGATATGATAGAAACTGCAAAATAAAAATAAAAATAAAAATAAAAATTCCTCTGGTCGGAGGTGACGCGAATATAAATTGGTTTGACCCACTCAGTGTTGGGAGTGAGTGCCACACAATCGTGAACTCCGATAAAAATAAGATAATAAAATAATAAAAGAAGAAGAGATAAACAATATATAATCTACCTGAACATCTGCATCCCGCTACATTACAGTAAGAAACTCTTGATCAACAATGAAGCCTACAACAAGACAGCAATCCAGAGAAGACCCCTTATATATTACAATTACTCAAACATTTTTGTGTTTGAAACAGACGAGAAAAAACCAAGATTTCATCACCAAAACAAAGGGATTAGTCCAGGTTTGCAAGTGGCAAACATGAACCAATTTAAATTTTTGGTACAAACAAGCCACAAGGGGCCTGTAGCTGACCCAATTTACATCTATCTATCTTCCAGAGGAGATGGATTCTTGACTAAGCTGTACACAAGGAAGCCCTCTGTTTTGCTAGTAATTCCTTTAACTTCCTTATAAGCTGAGGGTTGGAGCACATGTAATCCTGGAATGATTCCCTAATACTCTGCAACAACTCCTTGTTGTAATCACCTAGTTTGATATTAAGCAACTTCGTGAACAGATTCTTCCACAGTTCAACGTTCCAATACCTATACCGGAACAACAGAGAGTTCAAGTCAGAGAGAGGAAGGGAAGAGGATGGTGGGTTGCTCACTCAAACTCTAACTCAGACTCTACAAAGAATCTATCTACGGATAAGTTTCAACTATGTCTTTAGACTTCAAAAGGTTTCTTTTCTACCCTTATGAAAGTTTGTTCCAAAAAGATCTTTGAAGAGCTTCTCCGTCAAACTAAGATGGACGCTGAAGTGACGGCTAATGTTTAAAAATGAAAGGCATACATAATATCATTTCCATTATTCACATAATTGATGTAGCAATTGATGTGCAACAACTAATAATGTAAAGAAAAGCGTGACGGCTAAGTATTTTGCACAGGACAGGAAAAGGAAACAGAGTAAAGACGCCAGAAAAGTTACTAACCGCTTAAAAGAAGTTTTGGGT